ACAATACTAAGTTTTTATTTGTAATTTGTTTTTTAGCAGTAAAGGCCCCAAAGGTGACAGTGAGTAGGGTGGACAGTCTCCAATAACGGACATATGTTTGCCTTTAAGTCGTTGGAAAATGACTAACATAAGTCTCTCTTCATACAGGTATATTTCCTGAGACTCACCGTCCTCTCCTTCTCCAAAAGGTAGGTGATTCCACTGACTAGGTAGTTAGTTCTTAAGATTTACACTGACATAAATAGTGCTGGGACCTTTATAAGGGCCTTTTGTGCTGTAAAAGGCCGTAGTTAAAATCTTTCTTATCAATTTACATTAGTGAACTTAGTGTTTTCCTGTTATGCAAATAAAGCAGTGGACATGGCCCCTAACATAAAGCCTAAAACTCTTTGAGAATTGGAGATCAACAGCATTTGGAGAAACAGCTATCTAAAGATTTGTGTCATCAGCATGATGTTTGAACAAATTGGGATCCTGGTCTGAGGTTGAATATATCAGTTAAAAGTCTTTGGGATTAGTGAGGCATGGAAACGGAATCTTAAAGGCAGTTAGAAGCAGGCTGCTTTCCGAGATGGATGTGGGTGTGCAAAGCAGAAAACGAAAGCCAGTGACCAAGACTTTCCACAGGCAATCTGGCTAAAGCCCTTTTTTAGTTCTTAGTACAAAACCTTTTGTGCTGGTTAGTTGTCTCTTCTCTCTGGGTTCTTGATTTTTACTTCTGCTTACTTACCTGTAGCTTCTCAAAGATGGAGGCCTGCTGTCACCCATCCTCACACGATTGATGAACTTCTTTGTATTCTCTCGAGGGTAAGTCATTGTCAAAGACTGATTTACTGCAGCCTGGGAACAATGTACTGGAAAGCTGCTGCCATGAAAATTCTGGGCCAAATCCTAGGGTTTGATATTTTAAAGCAAAGGTGTTGGCTATTTGCCAGGGAAGGAGTAGTAGGAATTCATAAATCAGTTAAGGGTCAGGCTACATGACCTCTGAGGTTCCAATCATATTTGACATTCTGAAGTCTTCTCACACTTACCTTTTGGCTTTTTTGGACTCTTTCAGTCTCACCCCTGTCTTTGGGCCATACACCCGACCCTCTGAGAGTGAGCTGTGGGACATGTGGGCAGGGATACGCAACAATGATGGGAACTTAGTTATTGACAGGTAAGAAAGAACCCTTTGCTTCGGTTTCCAGAGAGGCTTCTTTTTGGAACATGGGGAGAGATGTGGGATTGCTTGTTCTGTTCTTGGCTGGCCCTACCATCTCTTAAGAAGGTTGGTTATGACTGATGAGGTACACCAAACAAAGTCATGCTCTGTACTTTCTAAGAAGAAAGCAATTGAGCATAGAGTGAGCCCAGAGCCTCAGCGATGTGGCACAAAAAGTTTGGATAAACAGCTGCACATTCTCGTGCTAATTCAGTTGTAACAGGCTGATTGGTTTTGGCAAATCCTTCTTTGGACTTTTTGTTAATATTAAATGCTTCAACATGTCTAATCATAGTTGTGAAAGGCATTTAGTGCCCTTCTCAAAGTACTAGTCTCTTTTTCATATCTTTTCTGTAGCAACAGGGACTAAGAGGGAGATTTCTCTGTCTTGTGCAAGGACTTCCCACTGCTTGGTTCTGAGGCCGCTTTCACAGAGGGACCGAGAGGTAGTGATATAACCACCCGAGATAAGGCCCAGTCCTTCTGCCAGCTGGGCCAGTGTAGCTTCCACTGCTTTAATTGGTGGCTTTGCTGGGAATTGAGAGGGAGAGAGAGCCATTCCTCCTTCCCACCCCAACCCCCACGAGATCCCAAAGATTCGTTTTAATATAAAAAATTACAAAACAAAACCCTCTTTTAAAATTCCCACATCCTTTCCTTTCCAAAATGTTAAAAACACTTCTAACAGGTGACAGTTGAGTTTCCAGGCAGAATATATGAGTATGAGTTCTAAATGTGGCTGTGGTGTCTTACCGCTGTAGGAGAAATTCTCCATTTTATCTGTGGTCAGACAAAATGCAGAGAAGGAAGCTTTGTGTATAGACGTAGGCATCAATTTAGAGATTTTGTAGTTCAGTCCTCTTAGTTTAAAGCACAGGAAACAGGTCAAAAGGTGTGTTAGACCTTTGAGTTACAGAGCTAATTAGTGGTGGAGGCACAACCTGAACCTGGGCTTTTGTTACATCACCCAAATTAGCTTCCAACCTTCCTAGATCTCACTTCCTGTTTAACAAGCACGAAGGAACATAATTCTTACATCGGTAGGAGGCATGATCATTGCCGTCACTTCATGGAGGCTAACTCTAGAGGTTAACAGAAATGATAAATTCAGCAGGCTAATCCCAGGCATGCCAAGTTGCTCTGGATTAAGAAAACACATAGTGTGTTCCTTGTGGCTCATGTCAGGCATTTGTGTTCCTTTAACAAAGTTGCTTGTTGTGCTCCTGCTGACTCACCTGTCCTGTAGTCTCTTACAGTACATCAACCAGAGGAAGAAGTTTAGAAGACGCTGGGTGGGAGCTCTTGCCTCTGTAACTATTCCCAGTGAGTATTTCTATATTACGTCTTGATAGGAAAACTGAGGAACTCAGGGGTTAAAATAATTGCCAGATTTAGCAAATACAAGCATAATAAAGACACCTAGCTAAATTTGAATTTCAGATAAACAACAAATACTCCCCGTTAAGGAAAAGTATGTGCTGTGCAATATGTGGGGCATACTGATACTTAAGAAAATCATTATCTGAAATTCAGATGTAACTGGTCATGCTTTATTTAATCTGGTGACCCTCCCCAACACCCGGAACACCGCTGCCAGGCTGTGTGCCGCCGTGCCGTAGAGGGGAGTACATAGAACACAGGTACTGCTGCCACGGTTGCTACCATAGCAGGAGTTAGGCTGGCTTCTGTGCTGTGCATGGCCAGTGGCTACCACATTAAATGCTGAATTCTGGGACAGAAGGCTGTTTAGATTACTAACCAAGGGCCTACAGGTGGTATCTGCTCATTTGTCTCTTCATTCTTACAGATTTAAAAAGAAAAAAAGAAAAAATCGGTGCTGTGTCTCACATATAAAAGTTAGTGCTCAAAAAATTGTTGATTTCAAATGTCAAGGGTCAATTATTGCTGGAGAGAGAGACTTGAAGAAGGACACTACCTGGGATTTAGAGAAAGTGAATGCTGCAGTGGGGCTGAGTCGCTGGCTATGCACAGGAGAAAATATCCCAAACGGACTGTTTTCAGTGTATTCCCAGAAGTTTCTTGTAACTTACTTACTAAAAGAAGCCAGACTTCTATCATAAAATAATTTCTTTAAAGAAAATTTGTTCTGAAGGGGTATGTGGGCCTGGGGGAAGGATAGATGTGAGAGCTGTTAGTCATTCCTTCCTCTTCTTGTTCCTAGTTCATTTTATCTACGGGCCTTTGGATCCGGTGAATCCCTACCCGGAGTTTTTGGAGCTGTACAGGTGAGTCTCCTTCAGCAGCTTTGTTTTGTTAGTTCCTTGTCCCGACAGTGCCCTGGCCACTGTCTCTGACCTCACTGGCTGTTCATCCAGGTATAATAAAGGGCGAGCTAGGGAACCTTACTCTCACCTAAATGTAAAGCTCAGGAAGTTGTTACACGTCTCTTGATTCATACAGCCTGTTTCACTGTCATGGTTGCCGCATATTCATAGGTGTACAGGTAAGGAAATGCTGTCATGTGATCTGAGGAACGGAAGTGTGTACAATTCATGAGAAATGTTTGCTTTAGTCTGATTGCACAGCCAGCTCATCCACGTCAGCTGAGCAACTGCAGGGAGAGATGGAGGTGCTCACTGGAAAAGCGCCTACTCGTTGGTAGTTATTTTCTCTAGGTGCTTACTTGGAAGGTTGGAATACGAAATCTTGACTGACTTTGTCCCATACGACTGTTCCATTCCTTCAGTGGCCTAGTAGAAACAACCCAGTAGTAAATAGCTTGCATTTAATTTTCAACAAAATACCCTCTCATTTCCCCTTGGGGTTAAGGAAGGTCTTTTGCTACCTTTATTTGGACAGTGGTCCACTTGTCTGATGCCTCATGCTTCTCTAGGGAGCTTGAGGTCACCCTGCTTTCACATATGTTGCAAAAGTGTTATATTTTTAAGTTGTCTGTTGGATTATGAACATTTGAAGTCTAGTCTGTATATGTTGTAAATGGAATTGGCACGCTTACCTGACTAAGATACAATTCCAAAATAGAAGCTGAATAAGCTCTTTGTTGGTTCTTTCCAGTGTGGTATGTCTGCAGGGGCATTTACCGGGGCTGCCCACTGGCTTACCTCCCCCCCTCCAGCCTCAAGTTCACCTACATGCTGTTCTCTTCCACTAGGAAAACGCTGCCGCGGTCCACAGTGTCGATTCTGGATGACCACATTAGCCACTACCCACAGCTAGAGGATCCCATGGGCTTCTTGAATGCATATATGGGCTTCATCAACTCCTTCTGAGCTGGAAAGAGTAGCTTCCCTGTATTACCTCCCCTATTCCCTTATCTGTTGTGTATTCCACTTAGAAACGCCCCAAAGAGGTCCTGACCACCAAGCACTTCTCTCACAAAGGTCCACCTGACTCACACTGGTGAACAGCATATAGTGAAAAGCCAGTAGAGGCTCCGACTAAGGGTGACCTAATAGTCCACCTCCCATTCCTTTGTCATCTGATCAAGTGTATGGACTTGCCTTTGTGTTATTAGGACATTCTGATGAGCGCTACTACTCACGGATGCAGAAAGACAGGCGTTCTTTTGCATAAGTCTTTTAACTTTCTATGGACTGTTGTGAAATACTTAGATGTGCCGATTTCGGGCCCAGCCCAGCTGGCATCTTAGAGTGAAGAATGAGGAGAGGCTGCCTGCTTCCCTCTCCTTGAGTGGCTTTAAGGGCACATGCTTTTTTAAGTTTTCTATGCAGCACAGCTTCAAGGGAGAGAGTCTCCCCTGTCATAACTTTGGCTTAGTTTCATTGGCTACATCTAATTGTAGACATTTTGTTAAAATAGATTTTTTGCTTTAAATAATTGCAGTATTCTAAGTGTACTTTAAGACTATGATTTACTTACACGTATTATATATACTTTAGAAGGGTAGTAACCCAGCAGACACTTACTCTAGCAGAGTAGTGAACTTTATTAAACATTGAACTAAATCCAAATTATTTACACAATGTCCTAAAAGTCACAGGACATGAAGACCAATAGTGTCTATGCCAGAGATGTACTGTTATTAGCTGGAAAGACCAATTCTAACAGCAAATAACAGTCTGACTCTTTATACCTCAGTGCTTTGAAGCTAATGTGGAGGGGAGGGGAGCGTGGTACAGTCCAAGGTACCCTGCTGAGTGTACACGGATTCCTTTTATGATGATCGCTTAACTTAGTGGTTAGCCCAGAGAGGCTTCCTCACGTAGCTCCTCAATTCCTGTACTTCACAGACAGGAAAGTTCCAGAAACTTTAAGAACAAATTCTGAAAGGCCGATGAGCAAATGGTGCTGAATACTTTTTTTTTAAGCCACAGTTTCATTGTTTTAGTCAAAGTAGGATTAGGTGATTATTTTAAATTCTTTTTTTTAAAATTAGCAACTTCAAGTATAACAACTGAAAGTGGAATAAGTGTTTATTTTCTATTAATAAAAATGAATTTTGACAAAAGTGGACTCTGCCTTCCCCTCCCCACCATCCCTCCGGGGTAAAAGCTTTCCAACATTGCCAGGAGCTTTCAGACACATTAAAGAAGATAAGAAAGTTAAGCAGCTGGGATATAGGATAGTATTTGCTTTACAAGTTTACTCAAAGCGGTACTATCACACCAAAGTTGACCAGTGTAATGAAAAGGGGGGAAAACAAAAAAGACATGCACAAGGACAGACAATTGCTTGATCTGCTGGCTCAGGGCCAAACATTTAATTTGCTTCTCCAGAATCATTAATCTTTAAAGGTGTATGATTCTGGGAAATTCATGCCACTAGCCTAAAAGCCCACTGATAGTGAAGTACACCGACTTAATCTTGCCCAGTAAAAACTTAGCCAACAGAAGCCAAGATGACATCCACAGGTGTTTCCTCTTTGCTTCTGACAGTCACTTGCATGGTCACTCCATCTGCTAAGGCCAGCCTGGACCTCACCAATAAGTCATAGCCACCTCTGTATACACCTGAGAGAACAAGGTGAGGAAAACCATATAAGAACTCACAGCAAGCTCCGACCACTGAAATTATCATGCCCTCTGCATTTCCTTTCTATTATTTTAGTTTGCTTTTCTAGAGATTTTGTGTTTATGGTAGGAATTGAATCCTGCATACAAATTCAAAATAATCTTTTATATTCCCATGATACCAGGTACATAGAAGGTATCAAGAATACCAATTCAGAGTATTCAAATGGGGAGACTAGCACTAGTATTCATGGGAGAGATTAAGGAAGTGTTTCAGGCCAAACATACATCTTAAAAGGACAACGTAAGCATAGCATGCAAATTAAATAGCTAAAGCAAATTATTCATTTTGACAGGGCTTCAAATTGGAATGCATACAATGGGACAATAGCAGGGCAGGAGATGCCCATGCATAGCTTTCCTATTAAATTTTGCAACAAAATGGGAAATCCAGTGAAGTTTCTTACCTGCCAGGTAGAGGGAATGGGAATTCTTGTTCTCAGGTACTTTGTCTGACCTCTCACATGGCTGCATGCCCAGAAATGTGATGATGTTGTTGACAGCTTCTGTGTTGACAAGATTGATGCAACAGTATCAGGAAAGGTCAGCACAGGGGTCTGCTCTGCACCAGTACCTACTGGGAGCTGGGGGCTAGAAGGGGAGGTGTGTGGACGGAGGCCACTGGGCTAGAAACCGGTTGACTCAATTCAATGACAGGGTCCCTGCCTTTTAAGTGAATTAGTTTCTGCAGTATTTAAACCAGCGTGTTCTCCAGAATGGTGAATATTCCTGGTTGGTTTTATGCAGCTGTCAGGTAGGACACTGAGAGCAAAACTGTTCTCACCTTGAAGACTTTTGGTAGAACTGAGGGCAAAGGTCTCCTCTTTCTCAAAACTATCTCCCACTTCTTCCCAGGCAGCAGCAAAGTTAGGCTTCAGAACCTTCTGAATGTGGTCAGACACGGTCACTTCAAGATCTTCCAGCTGGTGGGGACAAGCAGGGTCAGTGAGTGAGTCCTTTCAGTACAGAACAAAGTTGGACGGGGCTGACTCATGTGGCCTTATCATTCTGTGCGGTATCATTTGGGAAAACTATTACCAACTAGTTTAAGTCCTATAGTCTGGGTAAATCTAATGATTTAGCAAACGAAAGCAAGAAACTATGACAAAAAGCATATTCAGATAAACATCTACAACCCTTGGGTACAAAGCAATCATGTTGCCACACCCAAGCGCCAAGTTCAGGCCACCAGGGCATTCTGAACTTCGCGTTCACTAACAGGCTGATATTTCTCTAGCTGCCCCCTGCATTTTGCGAAGGCTTTCAGTCCATGAGGTAGCTCCATTATAAGCACATTAAAGCTGAGCAAAACAACCACCCCAATACTTCAAATAAAGCTCATTGATCTCGATGAAAATCATGTACTTCTTTTTTACCTTGTAATTATCCCTATTATAAAGACAAAAAAGCGTGAGTTTTGTTTTAATCAGGAAGTGGTAAATCTCCCTTCTCTTAGGCACGGCACACACACAGGAGGGACAGTGCAGGCCCTCCACAGGTGTAATTTAAGAACAAAACCTGTAAGCTCATGTCAGATGTCCCTAGAAAAGTGTCCCCTTCAGGTGGAAGTCCGTGGTGGAAGCGCGTCCCAGTGTCTGTGCAGGGGACTCACCACGTACTCGTCGTCATAGCCCTCCTCAGCTGGAGCCCCGGTGTCAGGGTCGCAGTCCCGCACAGTAAACTTCATGGTGCAGCTAAAGGTGCCTGCAGCTGGAGGAGAGAGCGGGCAGGCCTGGGTCAGTGGGCAGTGCAAGCGCAAATTCCCATGGTAACGGAGCACCGTCTGCACTTGGCACTGTGCTCTGTACCGTCAAATAAAACACACAGCACTCTTTCCAGAGTAGTAGTTCTTAAAAGCAGCCCGTCAGCTGGTCAAAAGGCAGTCTCACAAAGTATGCTTTTAAAATCCATTCCCCACTGTGGGTTAGAAGAGTACAGAAAAGACAACATTGGCAAAACTGTTTTTGTTTTGGTATAAAGCGAGCAGCAGGGGAGACTTTGGGGGGCTTTTTGCCATGCCTGTCAAAGGGAGCTACATGTGGAAAAAAAGTAAGAACCACTACTTCAGGCACAACAAAGCAAAAAATATGGGTGGTAAAAAACACACAGATCATTAACAGCACAACACAGTCTAAATATCAAAAGATAATACCACTTTTAGATTGTGCATCCACAGACCACCAGGGTGAACTTGTTTTATCTCAATTTTCAACCTGCAGTGAGTAGGTCAGTAAGGAGGTGCTACACTAGTATTGGTAAAGTCAGTGTCTTAAATGGAAAAGCAAGTGGGCGATCATATGATCATGTTTTGAGGCAACTGGTGGAAGTAATAGGAAACGGAGGCAGGGGCACATTTTTGGAAAGTGAAGTTCATGAGTGGATTTTCTGAACTGTCTGAAGGAGGGCATTTATTAACCAGGTGAAGAAAAGGGTCTAATCCATGGTCTGGAAAAGGCTTATAGGTACACAAATACTAGAAACGATCATGGTTAAATCAAGCTGGGGGGCTCAAAAATGATTTGGGGCATAGGCAAGGACAGGAAAGAACAAACTCAGATATAAAGATCACACATGATGATATCGGCTCAGTCTTAACTTTAAACTCCCTCCTTACAAACAGACAGTAAATGTCAGTACATGTTGACATTACCTGTGAAAGTGTAATGTGCCAGACCCTTAGATAAAAGGATGGCTGAGACATGACCTCTTTCTCCAATAGCTGATTGTCTAGGAGTTAAAGAGTATGTGTGTGAGAGAGATCTACCTATATAGCTATGACATCACAACTCATGCCATAGGTTCTCTAGTATAACTTTTAATAGAAGGCAGTGTGGGAATGCAGGAGTAACAGCCTAGGAAAATCACAAAACATTTGAAAGGATATAACAGTTCATTTGGACCTCAAAAGATGTGAAAGAGCTTTGGTGAGCAGAGGAAGGTACATGAGTTACAGGAAAGAGGCCAGAAAGACCATGGGTAGTTGGAAACAGTAAGAGATACTAATGAATAGGGGCTGAGAAGAGAATCTGTTTAAGAACATATTTGAAATACTTTGTATTTCAAATGTAGGAGACTAGATATTTTCCAGTAGGCTCTGGTGAGCTGAGCAGTAAGGAGATTGAAAAGTTAGAGATAAGTAAGGTCACTGGTGGGAATCCTATGAAGATGAGGTCTGAATTCAGAGAACAAACGGACTTAGTAGAGCATGTTGAAAACATGATGGTGGCAGGTTGACCCACATAGAAAGAGTGTACCTTTCAAGACTACAAAATCCCTTTTAATGCAGTGATGGAAGAATGATCATGGTTACATCCAGCCAGGGTTTCCTGCCAAGGAAGAGGGAAGAAGAAAGAAAAAGGTGGAAGTTAGCACAGACCTGGAATGGGTCTGCTGAGGTATTTAAAACAGTGAAAGGAGAGAGATGGGATTATGGAAGGACCAAGGCCATGATCAAATAAGAACAGAGAGGCAGACGGACATTAGTAATACAAGATTAAATGGCCTGTTTGGTTCCGATGAAACACATACAGACCAGCAGCTACAGTGGTAGATCACAGCCTGGGCAAGCTGGTTAAATTTTATGTACAAGAAAAGCCAGAAGATGCTTATGTGTAAGTAAGTGATACAGAGATGCGGAATAGGGAAAGAGGAATGCTATTAGTAGAGATTATGTTCCTGAAACTTTAGTGGCAAATTTTTAATGAAATGGTTTTGCTGATACAATGAAAGGTCACAGAGAATCTGAGGTGAGCTCCAGTAAAAACCATTGGTAGCAGTCTATCAATATTGCTAGAAAGGATGACTGACAATAGGTGATGAACAGAAGGGGTGAGAGGGGACCTCCATGGCAAGAGGACAACATGAGTCCCTTGCCATAACATGAAGATGAGAGCTTCATGAACAAAGCCAGGCAAGTGGCGGAAGGGAGTAAGAGAAGGATGCCCTGAAGGTCTACATTAAAGCTGTCCTCAGAGACGGGGCTGGTCTTGTGTGGACTGACATGAGAGAACTACTGAGGAGACTGGTATGAAAACACAGAATTGGAGGAGATATGGATGCTGGAAGCTACGTAAGGAGAGACGTGTGTGAATTAGGCAGGAGTGCAGAGCCTGTGCTGTGGCAAATGGCATAGGGGGAGATTTGGCGGGAGTTGCCAGGTCTCAGCCACTGGAGGGGAGATGACCACTAAATAAGATGGAGGTTCCAGACAGCTCTGTTAGAATAATAATTAAGAACAGGACTTGGCCCATGGAGCAACAGTCAGAAAGGGGGTAAGGGATGGATCGGAACAAGGCGAACCACAGCAGCCCACACAGGTCTGGGCTGAACCGGGTGGGAAACACACTCCATCTAGTGTGTAGGAACCCGGGAAGATAAGCGAGCGGAGCAGCGTGTGCCGAAAGTGAGGAGCCTGTTGGACATCAACTGGAAGGAAAGGACAGCATTCCTGGGCCACAGGTCATGAGGCAATAAGAAAGAAGAGACTGGAGGCAAAGGAAAGGAAACACTGGAGTGGAGGGCCCACAGGGTAGAGCAGGCATGGAACAGATTGAGATGAGGAATCCTGTCAGAGCTCAGAACAGGTCGGACTGGTCACCTTTGGGGTGTAAAGATCATCTTGGGAAGTATAAAGAAAGTGAGGAGCAAGGACAAGAGTAGGAGGCAGTAGCAGACTAGCTCTTGAAGCACCAATCTGGAAGGAAATTGCTAATTAAAGGACTTGGGTGACAGGAAAGTTTATAAGGAAGCTAACAGATGAATGTGGATCAAGAGCTGTTGCTGCCCCTTTAGAGGTGGACAAGGCTTGACCTAGAGCATGTGGGTGGTGGTCTGTCCAGAGAGCAGACGACATGTTGGGGGGGAGTGGGTGAGGGTTATGAGGGAGGGACAGCTGAAGTACTGGGCATCTGTTCCTTCTGTAGAAAGATGGCAAGAGAAGGGATGATGGATGGTTAAGTTACCTTAGTCTACTGCACAGTGTGTCATTAAAGCTGGTTGCTCTTAGAAGCTGTCCTGCCATGTGAGGGCTGGCTAAAAGTCAAAGACATTTCCCAGAGAGACACTTGTATGAAATACCGTGGAGGAGGAGAGAGAGGACGGAGGTTGGAGAAGATAGAGGATTTAAGCTGGGGTGCAGGATATAAGGTGTGAGTAGGGAAAGGCTTTAAAGAGCGCCAGAATGAGGAACGCTGGACCCTGGCAGGGCTGTCTACTAATGAGAGAGGTGTGAGCTAAGCTAGATCAACGCCAAAGGGGAGAGCATGTGACCAAGAAGTGACTGGAGAACTGGTGTTTGCAGGAGTGCCGTGTGGAATCTTATTTGAAACAAGTGTGACCAATAGAGCGAAAGGCTAAGGAGTCTAAATGGGGTGAGTTTCAGCCATGGCCAGTGGCGGCAGTCCTGTGAAGGTCTGGATTGAACTGAGAGTGCAAATGTATTTAGAAGGGAGTGGAGGAAACATGAAAGACTACTGAATCCATGAGAAATGACAAAGACGGTAGCTGAAAACATGAGGGACTGTGTAGGTAACATAGGTATTTCTGTAGGGTCAGTCAGGGGAAGGAGTGGAAGAGCCTGAAGAAGAGATGGTTTGTTTTGAAGATTGGCAGGTTTGGCAGGAAGGATATGGTACGATGTTTATACCAAAGATCATGATTAAATAAGAGAGAGACTGGGAACTATGTAAAGTGAGTAATCTGAAAAGTACTGAGAGTAGGTAGACTGTCATGGGCAGATAAGATGAGGAATAGTCTCCCAGAATGGACAGTCCTGTAAGATCTTATAATGAGTTTATTTGGTCAAATGTTGGGTCTTCATGCCAGAGTTTGAAAAGCAGTATATATAAAATGGGACAAAATCGAGGCCTGAAAGGTAATAGGAGTTTTAATTAGGAGGAGATGGATTAAAATGAACCCTGGTATGAAGCCAGACAGCAACCTTGAAGACCCCAGGATAACTCTGAGTAGGTGCTGTAGCATGGTGACTAATATGGGGGACGAGTGGCTAGAGATCATGGTATTTAGGAGCTAACCTAAGTGTGAAACTTCATTTGTTATTCCCATGTGCAGATGATAGATGAAGTTATACTGTACGTAATTAAGGTGTGGGAGGGCAAACCATCGAAGGGAGATACAAACGATTATCGTGCAAATGCCACATTAAAGTTACTCTTAGTGTTTACTCTGTCCTGTGAAGATTTTCTGAAGTGACAGAGAGTCACTGGGCAGGGAACCTGGCTAGGGGGTGCTGTTTAGGAGGAGACCGAGTCCAGGGGAATGAACTGAACATGGCAGCTAAAAGAAAGGTGGTTTAAGATAAGGTAGCACATTTCTTTAGGGCAAGATAGGTAACAAGGGGGAAGAGAATGGGAGAGCAACATGACAGCTGACTCCAGATTAAAAGGTCATTTGAAGAATGGCAGGTACTGAGTGGAGGGAGAAGGTCCCATACTTGGGCCAAAAGACATGGAAGAGGAGACGTTAAAGCTCAGAGGAGCACTGTATGGACTAGAGAACAATGCTGAGTAGGTGGCATGGTAATAAGAAAAACCACATGCCCATAAAGCTTTCCAGAATGGGAATCCTGTCAGATATGACGGGCCTAATTGGTCAAATATGTGGGTATAAGGCCAGAACGCAGTGACTAGTGAAGGAGTCACTAGAAGTAGAGTGAGTCTGATGCCTTGGTAGGAAATTTTTAATTAAAGGGGATGGTTGAAGAGAAAGTTTAGAGCAATGCTGCTTAAAATGTGTTCTATCAGCATCGCCTAGGAATTTGTTAGGAATATAAATTCTTCAGCCCTGTCAGACCTAATGAATGAAAAACTTGGGGTGGGGCACAGGAGTTTGTGTCTTCCTAAGCTGCAGTTTGAGCAACACTGCTTTAGAGGAGGGTAGATTAAGAGTAGTTCTGATAAAAAGTCTTTGCCAGCTAATAGTATATGTTCAGGAGGAGACTGAGTCCATTGGAATGAACTGAACATGGCAGCTAAAAGAAAGGTGGTTTAAGATAAGGTAGCACATTTCTTTAGGGCAATGATAGGAAACAAGGGGGAAGGGAATGGGAGAGAGACATGACAGCTGCCCTAAGATTAAAAGGTCATTTGAACAATGGCAGTTATTAACAGGAGGGAGAAGG